GTGGCGCTCTATCAGGCCCGCCAGCGACGCAAACCCGTCCCTCAGCGCCAGATAGTCCGCCCCCTGCTCCGCGCCCCCCGAGGCGCCCCCCTGCGGCGCGCCCCCCCGCTTGCTGCTGAAGTTGCCGATCATCACAATCATCGCCGGCACGGCGTCCGCTTCCTCGTAGCCTGCCGGGGTCCGAGGTTAGGCAGCCGGACAGCCAGATTAGGCAGGGGCCGCCCCGGCGCGGCTGGCGAGAGGGTGCCCCCTGGGCTGCCACGTCTGCTATGCCGGCTTCTCGCCACGCCCAGTGCCACCAAGCAAAGCTGTTCAATTCCGCCATGCAGACGCCTGTCACAGGCGTCTCCGCCTCGACCGGCCCCCCGCCGGAGCAAACACTGAGGGCTCACCGGAAAAGATGGTGCCCAGGCGCTCAAAAGTGTCCGGCCTGTCCAACCAGACGTCCGACAAGAAAACTATCCGCTCCTCCCCGCCGTCCAACTCCGCCATCTCCGCGGCCGCCTCCTCCTCGGCGCTCAGCTCCGGGGCGCCGAAGAAGTTGAGCCGCGCCGCGGTGGCCGGCAGCGCGGCCCGCGGCTCGCAGCTCGGGAAGCCGACGGCGGCGGCGCGGAAGACGCCGTCGCGGCCCATTGCGCCCTCGGCCACGACCACGCAGTTCTCTTCGGGGGAAGAGGCGTGGCCAGATTTTGTCAGCCGCGGTCCAGCAGGTCGGCGGGCGCGGCCGGCGGGCGCGTGTAGAGCGCGGTCGCTGGCAGGCAGGTGCAGCCCGCTGTCGGGGCCCAAGAGCGCGGCGCCGCCGCCAAGGCCTGCGCGCGGGGCCCCCATGACCAGCTTCGCGATTTCCTTGCCGCGGCCCCGGCCCCTCGTTGTCTGGGCCGCCCCTGCGGCTTCCGGCTGAGCAGCTTCCTCCCCTGCTGCCCTGCCCCCCACCTGTGAGGAACCCCGAGGCCAGCCTGGCCTGAGAGAGGTCCAGGGGCACCTTGGCGCCGGTGTCCTCAATAGCCAGGTGGCCGTCCTCCTGGAAAATGGATCGTGCGATGCAGGATGATTTATGCGTGTGTCAAGGTGCGCTGCGGCGCCAGGGCAGCGGACGCGCGGCGCGCACACGGCCCGAACCCTGCCGCGCTGTTCGATTTTCGCGAGGGGCGTGCCCGGCCGCACGGCCGCCTCAAAGGGCGGGGGCGGCACGCCCGGGAACGAAGCAGCCCGACGCCGCTGCAGCTTCCTGCCAGCCTCCCCAGGACGCGCGGCGCCGCCCAGGCGCGCGTGCGCACGCCGCGCGCGTCGCCGCGCGCAAGCCCCGCTCCGCGGTCGCACGCTTTGTTCATCTCATCCGCACCTGAGAGCAGATTATGCCCATGACGATGCAGGTCTCCCCCCCGCTGCCCTTGAGGCCCATCAACTCTGTCAGCTGCGCCTGCGGCGCCGCCCCCGCCGCGGCCTGCAGCGGGTTGGGCGGCTGGAAGCGGCGGTTGCGGCGGAGGCGCTGCAGCAGGAGGTTGAAGCGGTTGAGGTAC